AAACCTTAAACCCTAAACCCAAAGCGTCTGGGGCATGGGGGTCGGGCTCAGAAACATCAGGGGCTGCGATTGTTGGATTGTAGGGTTTAGGGTTTAGGGGTAATTTGGGGGTTTAGGGTTTAGGGTTGGGGCTGGTAATGTAGCGGCGTAGGCGGCTTAGGGTTTGGATTTCGAAGACTTCGCTGAGTAGAAGGAGGGTTCCTCTACATCCCTTGTATGGTTGCTGCCCCCGGTTCTTTTGCTGCTTGTTCCATTTGGTCACCGCACCCACGAGTGTCAGTTCTCTACTCCAAAATTGCATCTGAGCCGAGGGGGTGATGGGTCAGGATTTCGCTTCCTTGAGGCATGCTGCATCTTCTACCATCTTTGTGGGGGGATCTCTGCTGGGGGTTGTCGAAGTGGCAATCTGCTCCTGGAGGTCAGAGCCCTCTGTGACAAGCCAAAATCCTGACGAAGGCTTGGCTGCACGATGTTGGGGTAGACACTATGTAGGGTTTGTTAAACCGTCACAGTTCGATCGTCATGTACATGCTTAGTGTTGCAGTGCCAGGATGATTGCGTTGTGAAAGCCCCAGAAGTCGATGGCCAAGATGTGAAGGCTTCACGGTATGGTACCCCGGGGCCGCACGTAGAATATGGGATAGTGCCGGATCGTTCGCGCAGCCGGAAGCTAGTGTTGCCCGTCGAGGTTTGTGTTTCTTCCCGCTCTTTGGGGACTTCACTCGCGATGGTGGGACATCCAAGCCATAACAGCCTCAAGCAGTCTAAACGCCCGCTAGTTCCATGCCCAGTTTGCCTCAGCTGTTACACGCAACGACTGCACAAATGATAGTATTGACAGCAATGCACTCGAACCGCAAGCATTGTCATCCGCCGTTCGAGGCATCATTTCGTTACCCATGGGTGTCGGGTTTGCGGAGGCTACTGTAGGTCGGCTAGTTATACTACCTGCAAGGCAATTGACTTTCCACTACTGCTCTTTGCAACTTTGAACACTGTCTTTGTTCTTGCTCGCACATATTCTATTGCCCAACCTTGATGATGTGTTCTTCCGCTGCCACTTCCATGTATTCACTCTGTGGGTTGTTGGCTGTTAGTTCGTTGTATCCGAGGGTGCTGTTAGGGCAGGGTTGTTGAGAACGCTGGCTATGCTGGGGGTTGGCATGCCGGAACAGGGACCAGGTTTTCAGAGCAATCGCTCCGATTGCGACTGCTCCACCGGGTTTCTCGAGATTGGGTGCCGTGCGAAGGATAGCTGCCGACGGTGCCAGCTGCTTCCACCTTTCCAGAAGATTCGAAGACTTGCGCGTGCTTGGGCATCTGCTGGGAATGAACCCCGCATGCCTCGATAATGTACAGAGTTCGTCGGTTACTTCGCGATGTTACCTAGGACCTCGGACATACAGATCTGTGTGACAAGAAGCAATGAAACTTTAAACTGCCGGGCCAGTGGTTGTTTGTGTGTTTGCTTGGAGTGTTGGCATCGCCTACGTCGACGCTATACTGTACAGAGCGCAGTGGAGATAAAACTTGTTTGTTCGCCGTACGAGCAAGACCTTGATGTGCCGAGCGGCATTGCCTCCAGACAGCATGCTGTACTGCCGCATTTCTGCTAGCAAAGACATTTGGGCGCACAGGGGACTTCTTATAACATAGACGATCATCATGGCGCTCTCCTCGCCTGCCTTCGTGGTTGCCTCCAAGCCGGCTCTCCCGAGCTTGGAGGCGCGCCTTGATGCTGCTCAGTCCCGCGGCCCCCAGACTTTCGTGAACGGAAACTCTGAGGACCCGTCCGTGAAGTATGCAGTCACATCTATGGCAGCCACTTTCACCGTGGCCGGTGCTCTTCGTTGGCGCCAGCAGCGCAAGAAGGTGAGCGTGCGACGGGCCGCGGGCGGCGGGCCCTCAACTGCGGTAGTGGCTTCACCCCAGGAGACGTATCAGGAGATCGTGGACAAGGCCGAGTATCTGCGTGATCAGCCCTTCTGGAAGACTTTCCATGCAGGCTTCATGGGCGGTTGCTACGTTGGCATGGCAGGTCTCCTGTCCTTGGTCATCGGCGGCAACGTCACGCACGAGTTCATCAACCAGAAGGCCATCTTCGCTGCCCTCTTCCCGATCAACTTGCTGCTGGTGCTTCAGACTGGCGGACAGCTCTTCACCGGCAACTCGGCCACCATGGCCATCGGCGTCTTCGAGGGCAAGGCCAAGGTGAAGGATTTGTTGCGAAACTGGGCAATCGCCTATGTCGCCAACATCCTGGGTTGCCTGTTGATTGACTGCGTTGCTCGCTACACTGGCCTGTTCACAGCGGGTGCTGCCGAGATGGCTATCCACACGGTGCAGAAGAAGTGCGGCTCCACTTTCGGACAGACGGTGGTGAAAGGCATCATGTGCAATTGGCTGGTGTGCATGGCCGTCTGGCTCTGCACGATGGCCAAGGATCTCTCGGGCAAGATGGTGGGAGTTTGGTTCCCGATCTCCATGTTCATCGCCATCGGCTTTGAGCACTCCGTGGCCAACATGTTCATCCTTCCTGCTGGACTCTTCTCGGGCGCACCACTCACCGTGTGGGACGTGCTGATCAAGAACCTCATCCCTGTGACCATCGGCAATGCCATTGCGGGGGCTTTTGTCGTCGGTGCCGGCATGTCGTTCGCCTTCGGCAAGCTCGGAAAGAAGTGATGAGTGCTGTTTTTGTAATGTGGGGGGCACACCAGTTGCTTCCGTTTGGTGGATGGCATTCTGCAAGGTGCTGTCCGGTTTTCCTGTGAGTTTGTGGCATGCGAGCATGCATGCTGAAGTCAAGGAGGGCGCAGCTTCTTACATCCTTTGCCGATGAGAGGCTCCCATTTAAAAGGCTGCCTCCAACTGTGGCCGAGACCCTGTGGGCGTACGATTGGACTTGCAAAAATTGTGCTACTTTAAATCATATTTGAGAAATATGAATAGAAGAATCATATAACCACTATAAAAATAACGATAAATTCCGAAAGATATGATATATATATATATATAAAGATGGTTGGTAGTTATATAATAATAAGATTCTATTTATGAAGGAATATTTTAAAAAATATATATGCATCTATAATAAAATTGATTTTCTCAAATGGCTCTTTCAATTTCTTCTTTTAGGAGCGTGATATTGAATACGATTGAGGATATTTATATATTTTTTTGAGATATATCATGAATATAAATTTTATTATTTTAATCTTTTTTTTTATAAAAATAATATAATATCCTAATAAAATTTGATAAAATATTTAAGAAACTACCGATTATAGGCTGTCTAAAAGATTGGATTTTTGGATAATATACTATTTTTATAAGAATATATATAATATCTTTATAATAAAAAATTGATTTATTTGAATAGTATAATATTTTTATAATGAAATTAATAAAAATATTTTAATTTCTTAAAAAAATTAATCTTGCTTTTTAAAAGAATTATCTTATCTTGAAAATTAATAGTCTTAGAACCCGCGAGGCCTTAGATTCGTGAAAAAATTGATTTTTTTGAAATAATTCAGCATATTTATTAAAAAAATAGAAATTTTTTAGTTTAGTCCTTCCTTTTTAGCAAAATTACTGTACTATCCAAAAAAAAATTGATAGATAAAATGCCATACGAGGTCTTAGGGCCGGAAAAATTGAGATTTTTGGGATAGTACAGCAGTTTTATACGAAAAGATTGGTTCTTTGGGGACAGTACAGTATTAATATAATCAAATTAAGGAAAAAATAGTATATTATATCAATAAAATCTAATCTTATTTCTTAAAAATGCTATATTATCTAAAAAAAATCTATCTTTTTGATAGATAAAATGCCCTACGAGGTCCCAGGATTGGGAAAGATTATTTTTGGATTTTATTGGGAGAATATAGATCTTTAATTAAAGAAATTTGATTTTTTGGGATAGTACAGTACTTATCCAATAAAATCAATCAAATTACATATTGTCCCAAAATTCAATTTGTTTGGAAGGTCGTTACTATGATAGCTGGATTCATTATAAATCTTAATTCCTGGTATCTAAGCGTGACTCCATCTCATCAATATTAGTATTAATTCCAGTCTTAATATAAGTTGATATATTATGAGTAATAATATTTGTGTAATATTCGTTTCTGTATTCGTATTAGTTTTTGATTTAGTCTTTATATCAATATATATAAATTTATATTTATTCATCAGAATATTGATAATCTTCAATATATTCATATATTCATATATTGGTAAAATTAGTAAGTGGTATATGGGTAGATTGGTATATGAAAATAATGATTCTCTGAAATATCGTTATATCTATATGCTGATATTTATTTTGATAATTCATATATTCGTAGATAATAATAATTAGATAAATATATATTGGTAATTGAATATCTTTAAAATTAATATGAATATGAAAGGAGATTATAATATTAGGCTTAATATTCGTATTAATATTAATCTTAATATCAGTATTAAAAGACTAATTAAAATTGATATAAATATTAATTATACATTAAATTCGAATA